AGATATCTTACACCATTTAAGGCGTTTTGCATTTTCTTTCTTACCTGAAAACATGATGGAGCTACTCTCCTTTCCACCCTCCAAAAAATTTGCAAGTCACAATCCCACCACAAAAACAGAATTCTTTTTTTTGCATATGTTAATTCTCTGGGTTTTTTTTTTTTGCCATATAATTGTTTTTGTTTAGTCTAATAATAGTAATAATCGTCATAAGTAGTACGCTAGTTTACATTCTGATAATTGTATTTACCATCCATAGGCCTTTTTCTATTCTATGTAATTATCACTTCAAATATTTGTTTCAGATTAATACATGCTAATTTTGGATTATATGTGAAAACCACTAAAATTGGAGGGAGAAGGCCTCACCTATAATCCAGCTACCGGTGCGCAGTAACATGCTTTTCCCCAGGCTTCTTTTACATACTTATCTACTAAGGATTGAATCTAATGCTGTATAAGCAGGTTTCTTTTTGCTCCCCACTTTCTTTGTCTGTAAAGACTAAAGACAGAGTCCGTTTTCCGACTTGTATAAATCTTTTGATTTAAAAAGTCGAGGGGGGCCGGGGTCTAGCTCAGTGGTGCCGCCGCCTGCTTCGCAAGCGCAAGGTCTTGAGTTCGGTCCCCGGTACCAAGTGGAGTCCGGAATTGGAAGAGCATGGTGACTCTAACGTATACAGCGGGCACTACCTGTGGGATCACTGGCGGAATTCCATTCCTGGAGAAGCCACAAGCCGTTTCGGCTGGAGTCACTGTCTGCCTCGCTGGAGCCGCCAGAGGGCGCTGTGGCCCGGGTGTGCGGCGGCGGCAAGGCGAGGACCCTCCCCCGGCGTTCCCGGCAACGCCCTGTCCCAGCTTCCTTTGCGGGTAAAACTCGCCTGGGGAGAGGGTGTTTCTGCCGGGGCGGGTCGCTTCCGAGGGCGGGGCCCCCGTCGCCCTCTTCTTCCCCTCTGTCCCAAGCCGAGTTCCTATTAAGCTGTTTGGAACTCAGGGATGACTGGGAATGGGTGAGGTTAGCAAGCGTTACTTTTCGTGGCCGTCTGTTTCGTTAATAAGAGCGACAGCTGATACGTATTAACTGCTTAACCCCGCTAAGCGCCTTTCATTAAATGCTGTTACTGAATGCATTTCTGCATTTACACCTCCCCAGATCACTATTTGGGTCGCTATTTGTAGGCGAGAAATGCACGAGCAGATTAGTTCATAGACTGGCCCAACGTCACACAGTTGCAGTGAGGACTCTCATGCGGGGTAGTCAGCACGGTTGCTGTCTCTTACCCATTTCTCAGAGAAGGCAGTATTTGGTGTCTCTGTCTCAGGCATGTAGGAATGCGCTTAGTTTTAAGGTACGGTGGACCCTTGACTTATAAACTCAGTTGATTTCCAAGGGCTGATTTTAACTAAGTACAGCTGAGATCTGGATGGACCGTTTATCTGGGTACACGCTATAGATAACAATAGTTGGATGAATCTTCATTAACCTAATTAGCCCAAGTTGTTCGTATATCAGGCCGGTTGTAACTTGTGGATCCACTGTACTAGTAAGTGGTGTAAAATTCAGTGATCTATTTCCTGTATGTTTTGGAAAAAGACCTCAGCCTTATCTAGGCATGGAATAATTGTGCAAGCTGTTTATACAGTGCTATAGATATTTCCCAGGAATGTCTGAATCCCATCATTATATTCCAGGCAGTATGGTAGGTGTTATGGGAATGGGAAAAGGTATGATACAGTCTGATACTTGAGGAGCTTCACAGTCTAGGTGAAGCTGTTAAGAATAACTAACAGTTAATTTAGGGCCAAATAAAATGAACGCTGTTATGGTTCTTTGAAGGGCAGTATTGTTCAGGGTCTGTGGAATTGGAAAAACCTTGTGAGGTATCTGAAGACATACAAAAACATACACCCAGGATAGGGTTGTGTAAGATATGCCTTAGGTTGAATCTAAGTTCACAGGCAATTTCCATCTCTTGCCGTGGGATTAGGGGCTTTTCCTGTAGTTTGCCAAGAAACATTTTCAAATTTTATGTTGTTGCCTAAAGGAAACTGCTTGAAATATTCATTTGTCCACTGGGAGTAGCATGGGTTGAAGGAGGAAGAGACAGAGGGCATGCACACTGTGTATGAGGCACCTTTTCTGTAAAAATAAACCGTGATCAGAGTCACTGGTTGTTCCTGAAGCCACCTAGCTGAAGTGACATAAAGGTAAGTGTGTCAGCCTTCAATGGAAGAGCTGAGCTGTTTTTTCAGAGGCATCAGCCCCACTCTGTATGTGCCAAATCCATCGTTTCAGGGAGAATGGTGAATAGAAGAGACAGGATACTGATGTTCTGATGGTGTTCATGGTGTTCCTGCATGGGATGAGTCATGCACTTCACCCTGGTAGCTCTGAAAAATCAGTGTGATTTTTTTTCTTAGAAAAATATAAAATCAGAAATGATGGGGCCCAGAGGAATTGTAAATATACAGTTTTACCAAAGTATGTATGAGTTTTATTTGTAGAGAATCATTGGATTTCCCATAAACCCACGTGGTACAAGTTGAAGAGTATTCTTGTTTTTTTGAGACAGGGTCTCACTATGTACTTGAGATTGACCTGGAACTCACTGTGCAGCCCAGGCTGGTCTCAAATTTACGGTAATCGTCCTGCCTCAGCCTCCCAAGTGCTGGGATTACAGGCATGTGCCACCACACCCAGCTAAGTAATCCTCTTTAAGTACTAAGGAAACTGTTGAATATTTGAGATGCAAAGAACCTGTGCAGGTAAAATGAAACATTAATAAACCTAGCTGAGTGAGGGAAGTGGGTTTTAGCCATATTATAAGAAAAGCTACTATATATAAGGAAATCATTTAGAGAGTAGAAGGCAGGAGAGTTAAAATTTTAAAAATACTAATTTTAGCCTTTGGGCTCTAATAGTTAATCGTTTAAACTTTCCATATTAGAAGAATAAATTAGGCTCTCCCCATCCCAAGTGAAAGCTATGCTTTCAGAAATGTAAATTCAAAGAACTAGATTCACATTTTTTTCTCATCAATTTAGTTTTTTTCTGTTGGTGAAACTTGTGTTCTTAGTTAAAAATAGGTATGAAGTGTTAGACCATTGATTATTTGCATATAAATTGAAATAATTATGTTCTCTTTGATAAAGCCTTATATCTAGGAATTCAGAAGAATAAATAGGAAGTCTTAGGCACCTGCTATGCAGAAAACATTTGTGTTTTCTGTCAGGAACCTAAGAAGAGACAGTTTGATTTAAATAATTTGCACAAAAGAAAAACAACTGATTTGTAATGACATTTTATGTGTTTAGAAGTTTACTTGGGGAATTTAAAAATACTTAGGGAAGTCAGAGAAATTAGATTCATTAAGTCTTTATCATTCGTCTAGGCCAGTGTTTCTATCCTTGATGTTTTTGTGGTAAGTCATGCTGGAGAATTCTTTCTTGTGAGAATGTTTAGCGGCATGCCTGGCCATCTACTCTGCATTGCCAACAGCATTCTTCTGCTTGTCCCAACCAGAGTATCTTCAGACCTTTCCAAATATCCTCTGAGAGGCAAAATCATCCCTGGCTCAGAATCACTGGTCTGCAATAGGAAATCACCTGTAGCTGGCATGATAATGACAGAATACCACTTAATAGAACACCATCTCTTATACAATACCGTAGCTTTTTCTGACTTTGATCCCTATCATTAGACGACATTAGGTTTTAAAGTAGATCCACTTGATGTTCATAATCTTAAAAAAAAAAAAAAAAAAAAAGTGTGGAGCAAGCTTTCTAAGAATTTCCTTTAAATATATTTTATGCTTCATGTCAATTTTATTTTTAAATTTAATATTACAGGGCAAAATCTGTAAATGAAACTGATTGCAAACATTTCACTTTTTAACGCTATAGTGACAGCCAGAGAAGTAGTGTCCTGGAAAAATGGTATGAAATTCTTTGTGCTAGATTGTAATGATACTTATTTTAAATTTTAATTAACAGATCTTTTTCTTACTTATTTTTTTCTCATTTGTGAACTATTTAAAGAATTTGAAGGAACAGAGATTGTCTTGTTCAAGCCTGTCATTTTTCAAATAAGGAAGTTTAGATTTAGTCAGTGGAATGTATTTTGGGGGGTGTCAAAATTAATTGCTGGCAAGGGAGAAGAGGAAAATTTCCCGTACAGAATTTCAAATAATTTATGTAGGTATTTCCCCTGTAATGCTCTTCGGTGTGGGTGGCACCTAGTGATTTGCTTTCAAAAAGTGCATGTGAGAGGAGGAGAAAAGTAAGGTTACAGTAAAGGAACCTGAAAAATGTTTTGCAGCCAACTTAAGATCAGCAGTGGTTAAGTCAGGTTAACAAGATGTACCCTTGATATGATGTGATGAAAATGGCTCTTCACTTCTCTTCTGTTCCTCCTCAAAACACATAACCTCAGTCTAACCAGGAGAATTACCTTAATCAAATACTCACTGGGGGGATGCTGTAAAAAATACCTGCCTGGTACTCCTCAAAATGGTGAAGGCCTTCAAAGCCAATGTAAGTCTGAGAAACCACACGTACCCAGAGGAAGGTGAAGAGCCATGACAGGTAAATGTGATGTGGTATCCTGGAGAGGATCCTGTTACAGAAAAAGGAGATTGACTAACAACTTAACAGGAAAAAAATGTGGGATTTAGCTGATAGTAATGTACCAACACTGATTCCTTAGTTGTGACAAATATAAACTAGAGTGGTAAATAGAAGTAGGATATATAGGCACACCATGCTATCTTTCCAACATTTCTGCAAATTTTAAACTTTCTATAAAAAGTTGATTTTAACAAAACGGAGCCTAGCCTTCTAGCTGTGTCTTCTCAGTACTGGGAGATTACCAAATATATATATATTTAGAAAAACACCTTTTCTCAAGAAGGAATGGTGCCTTTCAAATGGGACATAGATTAGGCATTTTTATTCATCACATTATTTGTTGTTGGTTTTTGTTTTTTTTTTAAATTCTACTCCTGCAGCAGAGAGTGAAGATGATGATGAAATGGAAGTTGAAGACCAGGACAGCAAAGAAACCAAAAAGCCAAACATCATAAATTTTGACACAAGTCTGCCAACCTCACATACAGTATGTAATTTTGTAATTGATCTAATATAATAGACATGTTAAAGTTTTCTAAACAGAAGTAGACTGATTTAAGTATTTTTAGACTTTACCTCATACTAGAAATTGTGGATAAGAACATGGATTATTTTGCAAGGGGTAAAATACAACATTAGTTTTGTTTTAGTAGCTTAATACTATGACTGGGTGAGAATATGAGCTATGTTCCGATAGGTAAACATAAACAATTTTAAACAGTCTAATACTGTATTCTAGTAAAAGTCTTAGGAATTGTCACCCTTATAGTTTTGTTGGTAATTGAGCTATTAAGTATACTAAGTTCTGGAGTATTATTGAACATGTTAACATCTTATAAATGTCATTTGTGACATTTGGACATAGAAGTGTTTCTAATCTTGGTCAAAATAAGACATCTTGGAGAAGTTTGGTTTGTTTTTTTTTTTTTTTGGTACTGGGGCTCGAACTCAGGACCTTGTGCTTGCAAGGTACTCAGTGGAACCACTGAGCTACATCCCCGGCCCCGAAATAAGACATTTTGATCTACAAAAGTTTCTTGAATTTGTAGGTGAGTGATTCTTCATAAAAGATTGGAAAATTTTACTTCTAACAGTAAATATTAGATGAAAAATTAGGATCTAGTATGCTGATATACCAGGTTTATTATATAAATAAGATTTGTACCCTGTCTTTGAATCTAACTTGATTAGTTTATTGAATTGGCATTGTATTGTGCATCAGTCACGACATTGTGTCTGTGTTCCTGAACAGTACCTGGGTGCGGACATGGAAGAGTTTCACGGCCGGACTTTGCATGATGATGACAGTTGTCAAGTGATTCCAGTTCTGCCACAGGTGATGATGATCCTGATTCCTGGGCAGACTCTACCTCTACGGCTTTTTAGCCCTCAGGAAGTCAGTATGGTGCGGAATTTAATTCAGAAAGATAGAACTTTTGCCGTTCTTGCATACAGGTAAAATACTAAATTTGCTGAATGCATTTGATCTCCTATGCAGTTGCAGCAGAGGTCACTGCTGAAGCCAAATAGGAGTGTAATTTTGCATTATGGGACAGACAAGTTAAGAAAGTGAGGTAAAGAATTTTGTTGGGGAGAAGTTTGCAAATACAAATTGGAATATCTTTATTTTCATTACCATCTAAGCCAGACTCATCTTCACAGTTTGGCCTTCAGATTCCTTTTTTTTTTTTTTCTTTTGGTACTGAGGATCGAACTTGGGACCTTGTGCTTGCAAAGCAGGCAGCAACACCACTGAGCTAACCCCCGGCCCTGACCTTCAGATTCTTGAAGATTTTTTACTTATGAATACTTGATGAAAAACATTTCTAGGTTTGTAGTTTTAAGAACTGTCTTTATTTAAACAAAAATGGGGCTTTTGTATTGCAATGTAAAGGATTAATTTTCCAAAACAGTGATTTCTTCTTTTCCTTTCTCAAAATTCGTAAGTTGTACCAGCACAAACTTGTGTAAACTGAAGCTGAACTTAAAGTATCTGGTAGCACATGGAGGAAATCTGTGGAAGAGTCAGGAAACAAATTCAGGAAGTTCCCACCCCAGTACAGATCTGCTAATTAACAGCAGAAATGATGGCTTAACAAAGTGAAGGGATGTTTGGTTTGGAGAATATTTTTAAAGACTTTTGTTCTTAGATGATTTCAGTGACTAAGAATCAGTTCTTTCCCTAAAGTGCCCTAACTATATCTTGAAGCATCCTTGTATATTCTCCATATGATATTTAAAGTAAAATTGTACTAGCTTTGCTGTGAATGTTGATTGCTATATATTGTTTTTCTATGTGTACTGATTTTGTCATCTTTGCATATTTAAAAATGCTCAAAATTTTTATCCTTTAAAAATTTACCTTGGAAGTAATATACAGGAAAGGGAAGCACAGTTTGGAACAACAGCAGAGATATATGCCTACAGAGAAGAGCAAGACTTTGGAATTGAAATAGTGAAAGTGAAAGCAGTTGGAAGACAAAGGTTCAAAGTCCTTGAGCTAAGAACACAGTCAGATGGGTAAGAAATAACATGTATCTTAGAGCGTTGTGAGCATCTTATAGTGAAATGTTGTTTTCTTTCAGTTTTTCTAACTTACTGATCCATTATATTTTCCAACTTTATTAGTTGTTTTCTTACTCTTATGAGGTATAGTCCAGTGGTTTCTAATATTTGTGTGCTTCAGAATTACCTAGAAAAGTTTTAAAACTCTAGAAACTTGAGTCCCAACCTCATCTCCAGTTCCCCAAAGAGTGATTTAGCTAGCCTAGGTTGAGGCAGCAGCATTTCAGTATCCCCCAGGTTTGAGAACAGTAGTCTAAAGGCAAAGAGAAGTGTCATTGAGGGCATAGATTCTTTGGGTTTGAAGATTTCCCTTCCAAGCATAAAAGGGTGGGGAGGCCAGAGGTTCCTGAGCTCGCTCTGTGCTCCCCAGGACAGGTGTGTTGTAGGCAGTCAAGCTGTTTACATCTGCCACATGCTTTGTCTGAACTGTACATTTACTGCCTCTCTGAAGGGTGAATTTTGTTTCATCTAGAGATACAACTAACACAAGTGATAATAAATATTTATTCTCTCTGAATATTACATAGTGTAGAAGTTCCCTGAGTATACAATTTTTAGTTACTCATTTTCACCCAGTTAATTTGGTTTTTCATAAAATCAAAGAATACCACATTTTTTAAAAAAATCCAGTTCACCTTACTTTATCCTCTTAAAAAAATACAGCAAATGAATTAGGAAAAGCATTTGTCTCATCATTGGATGTTACCTTTTACAGGATTGGTTCTCTTTGGTGTATACAAATCACTTATGAAGTTTTATAGAGATACTTGAGTTCTACCTCTACTAGTGAATTGGGTGAAATATCTCATCAGACCTCTGTTACACTTGTAATCTTCAAAATACAAGGTTTTTCTGGTTTGTGTTAAAATTTTTAAAAGATTGTCAGCTGAATTAGGGTAGGAACTTGTTTGCTTGTTAACATAGTGGGTATTCGTAAGTTACTGAATCATGAAACTGTAGATGAGTCAGGCAACTTTTTGGACTAGAGACTACTGGATGGAGTGATGTGGATGGGGTTGCCAGAACTCTTAGAGATTCCTAATACTTTCCAGGACACTCACTGTGCAAGCTCCCACAAGCCCTTAAAGGGTATCATGTCTGCCTCTCGATAGATGACCTATTTGAGAACAGTGACTAGGACTTACTTATGTTCTACCTTTAGGACCATAAATGTCATGTGAATGTAAGAAAGATCTGAGGGCTCTGCATTGTGGTAATAAGCCTTTGTTTTATAACTGGATTTTGCTAACGGTGCCATTTTTAAAGTACTTCATATCCACATACATAGACAATTTTGATTATTTTTGAATAGTATTTTCCAGAAACCATGAAGTGATATTTATTTCAGAAAACTTATTTCTCAAACCATGTTGACTTTGAGGATACTTGTGGGAAAACACTTTTGAACACAAGATGGCAGCAAATCACTAACACTAAAAACAGATTGAGGAATATAGTTTGAGTATAGTGAAGATTAATGTCTGTTAGGGCCAAAAAGACCTGGAAAGGCTATATTATCTCTTAAGAATTTCTAGACCTGCTATTTGAAGGCCTCCCCCAAAAAATACATCTCAATTTACAGGCTTCTGTGGAGTGAGATTTTTCTGGTTCCATTACCTCCTAGTCCTGTAAACACCTTCATTTAAAATGATGAAATCAAAGAAACTGTGGAGATAATAGTCCAGTAAAGTATATAAGATCCATCTTTCTTTTTTCTAAATGATGCTGCTTATATAAATGTATATTCATGCCCAGTAACTTTTTTTTCTAAAAGTCTCCTTTGTCATACCTGAATATATGCACATACTTTTAAAATAAAAAAGATAAAACTGAATCAGTATAGGTCTCTTCAGAAATTCCTATTTCATAGTATGTAGACAGGAAGAGGGGATTAACATCCTCTTGAAATGATGAGAGAAGCCCTGTCATGATTTAGATAAATAACTGTTAGTCAAAAAAGTTTCATATCCTATAAACATGTCTTTAGAGATGCTAAAGTTATCAAAAGGTGACTTCAGTGCAGATTCCTTCCATATTTGTGCAATTCTTTTCCTATTAGAGTTCTCTCTGCCTAACTCAAAAGGAGGTTTTAATGTTTATTGAGACAGTTTTATACTCACATTTCATTTGTTTTTCTAACATTTATATAAATTATGTTGCTATAGTCACACACACACATAAAAAAAATTGCCATGAACAGGTTGGTAAGAAATAAAACTACCACTGGGCATGGTGGCACACGCCTGTAATCCCAGAACTTGGGAGGCTGAGGTGGGAGGATTGCTGTAAATTTGAGACCAGCCTGGGCTATATAGTGAGTTCCAGGTCAGTCTCAACTACATAGTGAGACCCTGTCTCCAAAATTAAATAAAAAGAAAAGAAAAGAAAACTACCTTATGTTAAAAACAAAACTCAGCCACTCAGAGAACCACCAGAACTGCATGTACCCAGCAGCTTCTGGGCATGCTGAACAGGGAAAATGGATGTCACTTAATCCTGCCAAGCAGTCCCAACAGCAGACAAATTAATACCATGATTTCTAAGCCACTGGTTCCATAACATGTATACTTTTATCATAATAAAGTTTTAAAATGGCTTGGTAAAGCATAATACTTAATTCAGTTACTGATAACTTTACGAATCAGATTGCTAAAAGCCTCCAAAAAATGGTATATACTTTTACTTTAAGAATATAATTATGAAGGTATTTGACTTCATCAGGTATATAAAAATTGAAGTTTTTTGTATTTAATGATAAAATAATACGTGGATATTTGGCCATAGTTTGAACATAGTCAATTTTTAAAAATATTTTCCAAAGTCATGGACACATAAACTTTCTGAGTATTTTAATGAGCATGCCAGCAAGGAAATGAAGTTAGTGGAGTGATTCTGATATTATCAAGTTAAACTTAAATATTTTAGCACATTCAACTATTTTGATTTAATGAGTAGGAATATTAGTTTCATAACTTTGTGGCTCAAGAATGGTTATTATGAAAGACTGCTTTAGAAGTCTTCAAAATAGCTAAAATTGAAGCAGACTCTTAATGTATTTGATTTTATCATTTGAAAAGTATTTCATTCTAGCATATGGATATTATATAATCTTCATTTCAGAAGTTACACTGCAGGGGATTTAGTTCAGTGGTGCCTCTGCCTGCCTTGGCAAGTGCAAGGTCCCAAGTTCGATCCCCGGAACCAAAAAAAAAAAAAGGTATACTAAATGAGAAATGGTGCTTCATAGGAAGGTAGCTGATTTACATTACTTTGTGATATTTCCAGTTATAATATTCTCGTTGCATTTTGGAAGTGATGACTTTAACATAACAGCTTAAACAATTTTAAGAAAAAATATAATGCATTCTTTGATTAAAATTTCAAATTAAATTTTTGAGAATGAGAGGAGTGCATGTAGAGATAAAGGCACATGTAGTCCTCCAGTCTTATTTTAACTATCCATGTAAATAGGTTTGTTTTGGTTTGGTTTGGTTTTGGTTTTTTTCTCCTTCATTTACCTACTCCTCAGGTAGGATAATATGTGGGAAAGAATGGGTATAAGGTTTAGGTAGCATAGAGAATGAGGCAGCTGGGAGGTTTGGTGTTCTAGTAGTCTATAGAATTAACTTACAAGGGTCAAGAAGTAGTAAGTTGAATGATGATTTAAAAAACAAAACTATGACTGCTTATCTGAAATAACAGATTTTCCTTTCAAGTCCACAATGAGATTGAAATCCATGCTGTATGTTATCATTGCTATTAATTTTGGTGTGATTTATGAGTTATTTCTGAAAATTTCTTTTATTAGCTTTCGGTGAATGTTTAAAAGAGAAAATTTAGAAAGTTACCATATTAAAAATTACCTTCAGTGTTTAGAAACTCACTTGTTTCAGTTAGTTTATCTTAAAAATGAACACCCTGCTTGGTTCTCTTTATTTTAGAATCCAGCAAGCTAAAGTGCAAATTCTTCCTGAATGTGTTTTGCCTTCAACTATGTCTGCAGTTCAGTTAGAATCACTCAATAAGTGCCAGATATTTCCTTCAAAACCTGTCTCATGGGAAGACCAATATTCATGTAAATGGTGGCAGAAATACCAGAAGGTGAGAAACTAATTTTTTATGCATCTTCAAAAAAATTAAGACAGGTTGATTTTTCCTGTTTTAAGAATCAAAAACAACACTCATGATTCATTCCCCAGACACGTAGCTGCATTTGATCATAGCTAGGGTATCTAAAAATTTCACAGGCAGCTATTTTTTAAAATTAATTTTACTGGTACATTTAAGATATACAATACAGTCATTCATTGTTGGAAATTTGTACCTTTACATAATCAATCTTGGTTCTTTTTTTTTCCCCATCCCCCTGACATCCCTTCAACCCCTCCCTCCCTCCCTATCTAGACTTTTTTCCATTATTTTTCATTTTATCATATTAATTCTATACCCTTTTTTCCTTTCCCCTACCCCTTGCATTTCCCCTTCCCCTTTGTCCCTTTTCTTCCTGTTTCACGTTATTATACCTTTTAGTCCTTATTTACACTTTGTTTCTCAAACTAGAGAAAATACTTGGTATTTACATGTGTGTCCTATTTATTTCACTTTAGAGTATCGCCTCATTGTGCATCCACTTAACTAAATGTCTGTAATTTCTCATTTTTTATGGCTGAGTAGTACTCCATTTTATAAAAAGAACCACATTTTATTCAGTTTCCCATTGATAGGCAGTTGGGCTGCTTCCAAGTTTTAGCTATTACAAATTGTGCTACTGTGAACATGTGGTATGTTCTTTAATTCTTTGGAGAAGATAACTAGCAGGGGAATAGCTAGGTGAAATGCAACTTCCAATTCTCCTTCTTTGGGGTATCTCCATACTGATTTCCATAGTGGTCGCACCAGTCTACACATCCACCAGCAGTGGAGCAGGGTTCCTCTTTCCATACAGCACTGCCAGCATTTGTTATTGGTTGATTTCATGATAGCAACCATTTCTGGGGTAAGATGGAATCTCAGCATTGTTTTCATTTGCATCTCTCAAATAACAGTGATGATGTACATTTTTTCACGTTTATGTGCTATTCTACTTCGTTGAGAAAAGTCTGTTGATTTCAGATGTCCATTTTTGGGTTGAGTCTTTAAATTTGAGGTCTGATTATTTAAAGTTCTTTATATATTCTAAATAGTAGACCTTTGTCTGAGGAAGAACTGGTGAAAATTTTTTCCCGTATTGTGGGTTGTCTCTTCACACTGTCGGTCATTTCTCTTGCTGTGCAGAAGCTTTTTATAAGAAGACATCCTACTTGTTGATTGTTTCTGCTGCTTCATGGGCAGCTTGAGGTTTTGTTCATAAAAATCTTTCCTTATATCAGTGTCTTCGAGAGTTCTACCTAACCTCTCTCTTCCAGCCAGTTTAGTGTTTCTGGTTTAATAGTTAGATCTTTAATTCATTTCAGTTTTAGTTTAGTGCATGGTGAGTCCAGTTTTTATCTTTGGCAAGTTGAAACCCAGTTTTTCCAGCACCATGTATTAAAAAGACTGTCTTTCCTCCAGTGAGAGTATTTGGATCCTTTGTCAAAGATGAGGTGGTTGAGTGTGTCTGGAGTTATTTATGCATCTTCTAATCAGTTCCACTGGTCCTCAGATCTGTTTCATTGCCAGTACCATGTGTTTTTATCACAGTTGCTTTGTAGTATAGGTTTAAGTTGGGAATTGTGATATTCCCCTTAACTTCACTTTGTTGCCTGGACTTGCTTTTGCTATTCTAGGGCTTTATTTTTGGTTTTCTCAAGGTCTGTGAAGAATGCTGCTGGGATTTCAATTGGGATTGTATTGAATCTGTGTAGCAGTTTTGAAAGTATGGACATTTTCACTGTTTTTCCTACCCAGGATCAAGGGATGTCTCTCCATTTTCTGATATCCTCTTCAGTCTCTTATTTCAGAGTGCTGTAGTTATCAGAGTAGAAGTCTTTGCTTTCTTTTGTTAGGTTGATTCCTAGGTATTTCGATTTTGGATGCTATTGTAAAAGGAATTGATTGCCCGTTTCTCAGTGAGTCTGTTTTTTGTGTACAGAAAAGGTATTAATTTTTGTATGTTGATCTTGTATCCAGCTATGTTACTGAATTTAGTTATTAAGTCTTAGAAGACTTTTGGTGGAGTTCTTGTGGTAATCTAAATAGAGTATTGTGTCATCTGCAAATAATGACAATTTAACTTCTTCATTTCCTATCTTTTTATTTCTTTCTCTTGTTTAATTGTTTTTTTTTTTTTTTTTGGTACTGGGGATTGAACTTGGGTCCTTGCGCTTGCAAAGCAGGCCACCGAACTGCTGAGGTAAATCCCCGGCCTGTTTAATTGCTATAGCATATGTTTCCAAAACTATATTGAACAGGAGTGGTGATAGTGGACATCCTTGTCTTGTTCCTCATTTTAGTGTGAAGAATTTCAGTTTTTGACCATTTTAGTATGATATTGGCTGTTGGTTTTTCATAGGTGGCTTTTATTAGATAGAGGTAGAGACCATCTATTCCACTTTTCTGTAGGGTTTTTATTATGAATGTGTGCTGGATTTTGTCAAATGCTTTTTTTACAGCTATTGAGATGATCATATGATCTTTATTTTTGGCTGTAGCAACATAGTGTATTACATTAATTAATTTGCATATGTTGAGCCATCCCTGCATCCCTACGATGATCCCACTTAATCAGGGTGTATGATCTTCTTGATCTTCTGCATTCTATTTGCGTGTATCTTATTAAGGATTTTTGCATCTCTGTTCATTAGTGAGTTTGACCTATAGTTCTCTTTTTCGGTTGGGTCTTTCTCTGCTTTGGGGATCAAGGTGATGCTTGCAGGAATGAATTTAGGAGTACTGCTTCCCTTTCATTTTCATTGAAGAGTTTAAACGATAGTGGCAGTAGTTCCTCTCTACGTGTCTTGTAGAATTCAGCAGTGAAGCCATCAGGGCCTGGGGATTTCTTAGTTGGTGAGTTTTTAATTACATTTTCAAATTTCATTGATTGATACTGGGTTGTTTAGAATTTTTAGGTCATCTTCGTTCAACTTTAGTTATTCATATGAATTGAGGAATCTGTCCATTTCTTCTGTATTTTCCATCTTACTGGAGTAAAGGTTCTCAAAGTAGTTACTGATGATCTTCTGGATTTCTGCTGGGTCCATTGTAATTTTACCCTTTTAATTCCTAATTGCATGGAATTGGGCCTTTTCTTTCCTTTTTATGATAAGGTTGGCTAAGGGTTTTTCAGTTTTGTCTGTTCTTTCAAAGAACCAACTCTTGGCTTTGTTGATTTTTTTTTTTTTTTTTGTATCATTCTCTTAGTCTCCATTGCATTGATTTCTACTCTGATCTTTATAATTTCCTCCATTGCGTGAGCTTTGGGTTTGTTTTGTTCTTTTTCTAGAAGCTTGAGGTTCAGCATCAGGTTTAATTCAGCTTTGCTCTGTTTTCCTAATATGCGATTCACTGCTGTGTACTTCCCTCATAAGATTGCTTTCATTTTGTCGCATACATTCTGATATGTTGTATTGTCATTGTCACTTAATTGTTGGAATTGTCTGATTTCTGAGACCCATTAGTTATTCAGAAGTATGTTGTTCACTTTCCATGTGTTTGTAAAATTCTTGCAGTTTCTTTTGCTGTTATCTCCAATTTCATCTCACTATGGTCTGATTATATTCTGGGGATCACTTCAGTTCCTTTGCACTTAGACATGTTCTGTGAGCAAGTGTGTGAACTATTTTGGAGAATGACCCATGTGCAACTGAAAGGAATGTGTATTCTGATTTTGTTGGGTGGAACACTGTAAACATCTTTTTAAGTTCATTTGTTCAAGAGTTTGATGGAGTTCTACTTCATTGTTTATTTTCTGTCTAGTTGATCTGTTTGTGACAGTGGAGTATTGAGGTCTCCCACTACTGTTGTGTTACTGCTTATTTGATTTTTTATGTCTATTAGCACTTGTTTTATATAGTTGGGCACACTAGTGTTTCGTACATATATATATATATTTATGATTGTCATGTCTTCGTCTTGGATTTTTCCCAAGGATGTAGTGTCTTTTCTTTGTCTCAATCAGTGGTGGTTTGAAATCCACTTGATCTGCAAAGAGGATAGTTACTCCTGCTTTCTGGGGGGTTCATGTTGCATGGAGTTTTGTTTTTTACCCTTTAACTTTCAGTCTGAATTTCTTTTTGAAATAACTTTGTTTCTTGTATGCAACATATTATTGGACCTTGCTTCTTGACCCATTCTGCCAGTCTTATTTCTTTTGATTGGTGAATTGAGACCATTAATATCCATGGTTATAACTGATATGTATTGACTTATCCTTGTCATGACTTTTGCTTTTGTTGGATTTTCCCCCTTTGTGTTTAATTTTTTTGTCAAACCTGATGGATTCATTCTGCTGGGCTTCCTGGGGTTGTGAGCCTCATTGTCTTCTCCTAGGATATTGTTTAAAATTTTTTGGAGTGCTGGTTGGTATTCATGAAGTTGCTAAGGTGCTCTTTGTCAGGACAGTGTCTTATTTCTCCATCAATTTTGAAAGATAGTTTTGCTGGGTACATCAGTCTGTGTTGGAGGCCGTTTGTTTTCCTTTAGGGCTTGAAATACATCAATCCAAATTCTTCTTCAGAGGCAGCTATTTATGAAAAAGTTTTGAGCCATAGTAATCACAAAGTATTTTTAATGTTATGCTTATCAGTTTTGTATTAATAGCTTATGACTTTTAATTAGGAATCTACTAAATTGTGATCAGACCGTGTGTTTGGCTGTTGAGCCATAAACATATATTACTTTAAAGGGAGAGGGCTGGGAGGGCTGGTTTGAGGTAGCACAAGTGGAAGTAAAAAAGTAAAGTGTTTTTTTTTTTTTTTTGTATCAGGGATCAAAGGCAGGTCCTTACACTTTGTCTTTTGTTTTATATCATGTTATTGACTCACAAAAATTGACCTGAAACTTGGTGATCTTTGAAAGTGTTGCTTTTTTAGCCATTAATTCTTAGTTGCATCCTTTTCGCAGTCATATTTCCTTTTAGGAAAACAAAAAATGAAGGTTCTTTCTAATCATGTGTAATATGTATC